TTCTGGTAAAGAAATGTGGATGTTGTTGGAGGTGATCATAAAAACTATTCCCATTTATGTTATTCATGGTATCCCCCCATGAAACATGTCTGGCATTAAAGTCGCCGCCAACAAAGGTAAGATCAAAATCCCTGGAATATTGACCTAAACAAATCAGAGAACGTGAAATCTGCGATTGATCAGAATTCCCCGGTAAGTAAATGGAGCCAAGCAAAATTTTTCTAAGGGCGCCATTAATATAAACATCAATCGAGATAAATAAACTAGGGAAACTAAAACCCGAAATAATCTCTTTACTGAACTTGTAATTTTTCCTTAGCAAAATAGCTACCCCTTGTGAGGTATTGTCTCTGAGAAATTGACAGCCCTCAAAATTAATATTTGCACCAGGTCGCAAGTGCGTTTCTTGAATGAATGCAACGTCAATATCATGGGTGTTGAGTAACTTGTACAATTCGTATTTACGGCCATATTCAATTAATGACCTAATATTAAATGTGATGAGATTTAACATATTACGGACCATAATAGTACGTTTACATTTAACCAGATTTCGTTAACCCAGTGGGTTTCAATTGCCATTTCCTTTGCATATATGTCAAATAAATCCTCATAAAGTAGGTTAACCCGGTAAAAAAGTTCTAATGTACAAGGAGTTTAAGTGATATTAACTTCGTGCAAGAGACTAACACACTGTTGTATAGCCTCATCCTTTGACATTGATTTATAATTTCTTAGGAAATTCAAAATTTTATCTTCTAATGAAATCGTCTTAGGGGGACAAATTTCTTTAGCGATTTTTAAAAAATCTTCAATAAGTCTCGGTCTCTGTGAAGAGCCTGAAGTTAGGTTAGCGGAACACTTACGGGATGCATCTGAATAAGAAATATCCGGCTGTATAATAGAGGATAAAGCATTAAAAACATTATTATTTACTTTCGATTTTCTTTCCAAAGCAACTGTTTTAGCTCTCTTCTTCAGTTCAACATACTTTTTATATTCAGGACAACCCCTAAAACTTGCGGGATGACCACGATTCCCACAGTTGATACAGTAGGGTAGATTCCCATCACCTTGAACGATTTTACATTCGCCTTTGGCGTGGTTTTCACCACATTTGACACAAACAGATTCTCTATTGCAATTTTGCGACATATGACCCCATTTTTGGCATCTCCAGCATTGGACATCCCCCAAGTTTCTTTTCGGCAATTCCCAATAGACTCTTTGCATCAATACATACCTCAGCGACTTCAATTCTGATACCGATTTACCCGACAGTAGAGTTACAAGATAAAGCCCTGTATCAATATCATTTTTTCTAGAGTAAGAAGTGGTAAATTTAGAGACGTCTTGCACCGTATCTGGAACTAACATATCTAGGTCTGCCTTAATATCATCAATTTGAGTTTCATGAAGAAGTCCGCGGAGAACTATGGTTTGTCGTTTCAACTCTTTAGGAGTATAAGAATACGAGTCCAACTTTTTTTCTCGTAGAAGGCTCATTAATTCGGTGTGAACATTTGGATCTTGTAGATAAAGTTTGCTTTTGTGTCTGCTTTTATTAATAATTCTATATTCGATGTTCCTAGCCTTTAAATCATTTAACAAACTATGCAAGTCTATGCCAAAAAGAAAAATAGGGGGACAGAACGATTTTCTATTCCTATCAGGTTTATCTACTACTTCTTTCAAAGGAGCAGGCCTATTATATGCTTTGTCAGATTTAATATCCAAATCACCTAATATGGAAAATCTGTTGCTTGACAGCACCGACTGTTCGGATGATTTTTTTGGAACATGAAGTCCAAAATTGGACATATCTACCTTAGGTTTTCTGGTAATAGTTGCAATTTTTCGTTTCTTTTGCACAAGTTGAAAATCTTTGTCTTCAGTCGGGATATTTTCCTCCTGATCCATATTGCACACCGTTTCTGCTGCAGTAGGTATTGCACGAATTTGCTCCGAGTTAGCATTCATTAAATTGTTGACGTCAATTGAAGGCAATTCTTCAATATTGGTTACAAGGGTAGTGGGTTTTGCATCGTTGCTTTTGGAAGCCATATGTGATGAGTCTGGCTGAACAATGTCTTCACCGCGATATCCCGCAATTCGATCATCAAATTCATTATCATTAAAACAAGCATCGTGCAAGAGCTTGCCAATAGTTGTCTTGGATTTCGCTTTTTGGCTAGCTTTATCGGGAGGAATATTCTCTGCAAGAACGCGAGCGTCCTTGCTCAATGGATAAATATTCATTTCCCAATCCCAATGAAAATTTGCTCAGAACAAAAATTCAATGAAAAAAATTCAATTTTTATATTTTATTTTTTGACAAAAAACACACGTCCGTCTCGTTCAAAAGTTTGAAACTTTTTCGGGAGCTATATCTAAATCAGTAGGGTTCGTCCTTGAGCCAAATAAATGAGTTGTGCCAAATTGAACATGGACAGACGAACGTACAGACGGACATGCATAAATCGACTCAGAAAGTGATTCTATGCATATACTCAAAAGGAACTATGGGTCTATCTCGATTATTTTTGCCTGTTACAAATATATGCGCAAATACATAATACCCTGTACCACAGTGTGGTCAAGAGTATAAATAGAAAAATTTGTCGACAATTTATAAAATACTGGATATCGCTGGCTTAGCGTTAGAAGGCAATAAATCCACTTTTTCTAACAATAGAGATTATGATACAGACATGTTCAATGATTCAATCAAAAATCTACCTACCCATTTAATGTTGTAAAGGCGCTAAGTCCAATTGATCACATGTCGCTGGCTGTTCTCTCCTGTAAAATTGTAAAATATGGACTTTTCGCGTTTACTTCTTAAACCAGCGATATTATATTGAAGACTTATGAAGAAGCCGTTATATTCTTTCCCACTTTACGTCAGCATAGAAGTGGGCTTTGGCGGAACAATACCAAAGACTGGGTCCGATCCTCACCTTTGTGTAAAAAATAGATAAATTTTCCTCCTTTCGATCTTTGGAAAATTATTGAAACGGCTTCTTCTCATACGTAACAATCGAAATATGAATATGTTAAAATAACACATACAGGGTGAGATACAAAAAACTACAACAATGTGAAACGCCATAATATTTTCATTTTTATACCCTTCACCACACTGTGGTACAGGGTATTAGGTTAGGTTGAAAAAACCGCATGTCCAACATGAGAAGGACATACACTTAAGCCATATGAGGCCTGTTGTGCGCTCTAGATGTGCGGAGAAAGTAAAAATCAAGAATTAGTGAAGTGTATATTAATTAAGAAAAACATTTGGGTTTGATACCCTATGAGTCTAGGAATTCCGTGTGTTTTGCGAACTCCTGCAGTCTTTTCCATCCACACCTCCTCAGATCGCTTAGTCCGTGGAGAGTGTCGTTTCCCAAGAATTGTCTCCGAAGGCATGTAAAAGCTGGGCAATGACATAGGAAATGTTCCAGCGTTTCACTGTCTTCCCCACACGCTCTGCACTCGTTACTTCCTTCGCATCCAATCTTGAGTAGATGTGCCTTTAGGCCGAGGTGCTCCGTCAGAACTCCCGTCAGTCGGCTTATTTCTTTTTTGTTTAGCGTTAAGATTTGCTTAGTTTTGTCTTCACTTGGGTCGCCCCATAAGATTTTGGTGATTTTTCCTGTCCCCTCATTATCCCAAAGGGTTTTGTGGGTCTCATGTGCCCATTCCCTCATTTCTTGGCGTGTTTCGCTAAAGGGTTTGGCGGTATACACCTCTATAGTGGGTAGTGAAATGACACTCCTGGCTAGTTGATTTGCTATCTCGTTGCTATGATTCCTTGGTATTCCGGTACCCATATAATTCGTACAGGGTATTATGTCTTTGTGCATATGTTTGTAACAGGCAAAAGGAAACGAGATAGACACATGGTTCCTTTTGAGAATATGCATAGAATCACTTTTTAAGTCGATTTAGGCATGTCCGTCCGTCAGTCTGTCCACGTTAAATTGTAAACAAAGTACAGGTCGCATTTATGATCCGATTTGGATGAAAGTTGGCATAGGTCATTTATTTGGCCCAAGGACGAACCCTATTGAAATTGGGAAAAATCGGTTCAGATTTAGATATAGCTCCCATATATAGTTTCGTCCGATTTTATGTAAATGGTGTACCAAAGTCCATATATATCTCTCGATTTGCACGAAATTTGGCACAGTGTACGAAATTAAGTCTAGAATGATGTGTGCTAAGTTTCGTGAAAATCGGTTCAGATTTAGATATAGCTCCCATAAATAGTTTCGTCCGATTATATTGAAATGGTGCACCAAAGTCCCTATATATCTTTCGATTGCACGCAATTTGGTATTGCGTACTGAATTGAGCCTAGAATGCTGTGTGTTTAGTTTCGTGAAAATCGGTTCAGATTTAGATATAGCTCATATATATTTTCCTTCGATTTTATGTAAAGTGTGCACTAAAGACCCAAAGTTTGTACGTTGATATATAATTTTATTGAAATCGATTCAGATTTAGATATAGCTCCCATTTGCATGTTCATTGGAGTTAAGGTGAAAGTTGCACCGGTTGACACGAAACGTATCAATGGTCCTGTTGAATACACCCAAAGTGGTGAAGGCTATCATAAAGTCGGCCCTGTCCGACTTTACAAGCAAAAAATGTCGGATGTAGCATCAAATTTTAGAATAACTTTAGATTTGTTCGAATTGGTCATCTTTGGCACGAATTATGTCCTTCAAACGGCCAATGAATCACACGCTGCCCGATTGTTGCACTGCGGTATTTTGGTGCTTGTCTGAGGTGACCGACAAATTGGTATTTTTTTATTGCCATCCTTGCTTTCCAAAATACTCCAGACATAATATTCCAACGCATTTTGTTCACCATTTTCGGCCAATCGAAGCATCTCTTTAGCTCTTTTGAGTCTATTTTCTTTCTGTTGCGGTGTAAGTTCTTGCACTTTTTTTGAATTTCAATGGCTTTACCCGGAGCTCATTTTTCAATACTTGCCGAATGGAATATTGCGATATGTTCAGCTCACGAGCCATTTTTCGGCCACTGTGACGCTGGTTTCGATCAAGTCGCTTCTTTACTTTTCGAACCATTTCTGCTGATGTTGCTGTTTTCTTCCGTCCTTGACGTCAGGCTACGCTACCAGTATCATGGTAACGAGCGATGGTATGAGACACAAAAGATTTATTCACATTTAAATGCTGGATTGCTCTAAAGATAGCCACTTGTGGTTTTCCAGCCAATACTATCACGCTTGAATACCATCACGAATAACTTTTTTTTCTGGAAAATTCTCACCAAAATGCTTTTGTACACTTGTAAAAAATATAATGAGCTAACACTGGAATAATTTTAACAGCTGTCGGACGAGTGGCTTAGATATGACAGCAGTCAGAATTTAGTTGCGGTTTTTTCATCTCACCTTGTATTTAAATTGCACCGTTAAACATAACAGATCTTTAACACGGATTACAATTTTCAATTTATAATTCTTTGTTATTTTGGTATTTTTTATCTATTTAGACAATATTGAATTGATACCCTTTTTGGATAGAATGAGCTTTGGGTATTGAAAGATAAATTGTGTGTTCGTTCAATTCTAAGGATATTAACGAATATTATAGGTGTTCTATATCCTGATCAACGTAATACTGACAAATATAAATATTAATTTTTAACAAAGGTACTACTTGTTTTTTCTTGTTTTTCAAACTCTTTTGAATTTAAATAGTTAAGACATTGTTTAACGGATCGATTATAAATCTGGGCGTATGTGTTATTCTTTGTTTAAAAAGTGTTGTAATTATTGTATGTGCTCATTACGGACTTCCAACACACAACATACATGCTCCGAGTAATTACGATTAGTTCGCTTAGTGTGACCTAAACACAGTCTTGTAAATATTCGTAGTGTTAAGATTTCATTACTCGTGTGTAAGTTGTACATAGTCACTCTTAATAAAGCCAGAGCACAAGTCGTCAACCCTTTCATCTACTATAGCAGAGCAAGAATATATCCTACAATATGATCGAAGTTTGCGAAATAGAAAAGGCATTGAGAGTCATTCCATCTTGTATAACTGAGTGTCGGGTACGTTGATCGTGCGAAGGAAATCCGTGTTAGTCCACCAATATGTTTGAGAGGCGATTTCAAAGATAGGATGCAGATATTAATGTTTGGAAAAGTCAAGCGATGAGTAAATGGCAACAACAAAAGAAGGGTGCGAAGATCCAGCAAAACAACAACTGATGGGGAGAGCCCACAACGAACGGTATCGAATGAAGATTGCTAAGCATACTTAAGGAAATATTAAGTGCATTGTATTGGTAATATGTTTACAAATTTGGAATTTAAATAAAGGAATGGTTTTTGAATGTTTGATATTGGACATGTATGTATGTATGTGTGTTGAGGAGGAATGTTGTAATTATTGAATGTACACGTTACGGACTTCCAACACACAACATACATGCGCCGAGTAATTGCGATTAGTTCGCTTAGGGTGACCTACACCCAGTCTTGTAAATATTCGTAGTGTTAAGATTTCATTACCATCACCAGCCAGAGACCAAGTGTCTTTCCTTCCATCCACTAGCAACAGAAGATAAATATACATTCAGCAAGAAGTCGCTCAAATTGTCCTAATTTCATTTCAAAATTTAAAGGCACTTATGTTTTCCAATGAATCCAATGAGATAGACCGTGGAACTTGTATGTCAAGGTGGTTTAATTCTCTGGAACGCTTCTCACAAAAATGAGAGCAAAGTCTTCTATAAAAAAAATTCTGTGGCCTTGAATCGGCCAAATTCCTTCAAGCCACGTGGCTGTCTACAAATCTTCCGAGGTGTATGAAGAATGAGTTGTTGGAGTTTATAATCCCACAATTTTATTTATTTTTTATCGTAGCGGAAAATAACAATTTCTATTTCACGCCGTCATCAGGGCTTGACAACGCCAGGACAGATGATTGAAACAGAAATGATTGCTTTATGTCTATTGGTAACTTATGACAGCAATTGTAGTCTGTATGACTTTTGATACCCATAACAAGGGATCTTGCCGGGTCATCATGTAAGAAAAATTAGTGGCAATGATTTCCTCAATGAATGGCGTTAAAAATGTATTAATATCTTCGAGCTTTTCGTTGCATGTGTAAGCTCCTACAGTATTTATATATTTTGTGCCATTTACGTTTACTAATATAAGATAGGCTTGATCCATTTAAAGCAATATTGCCACTTACATTTGAAAAATAAGTCAACAAATCGGTCTAGCGGTATTTTAGGCCAGTTTGTTTTCTACTGAAACCAGAAAATAAAGATATGTTATCCCCAAAAATAATTCATCATACCCAAAAAAATCCCCTGTATTTTCAATTTTTTGTTTTGAAATAGTTTATTTAGAATGCTGTCCATTTTAAATTTTTTAAAAATACTTACATTTTTAGAAGTATTCAATTAAAAAACACAGGTTGTTTATTGACAGTGGCACTTATATCTAAAACTTCAGACTCACCAACATCATAAGTTTGGGTATACATGTTTTTAGTATTAAATTTTTTTATCATTTCAGGAGAAGGCATGGCATAATTATGGATGATAGTCTCATTTAAGAAATTGATGATGGCAACCCTTTTTAATATGGAATTCATATATCAATTTAAAAAAAATGAAAAATAAATGCAAAAAAAAAAATTATGTATGTTGATTGAGATATTTTCAATAAATTAAACAAAATATATTTTCTAAAGCTGAACATTGCTCTCAAGATTTAATCATGATTGTTACAACTTATATTTAAAGTTTTAGAGGCAGGAAACTTCTAAATAGTTTTAAAAATAAATAATTTAGCAATTTTGCCACTAATCGTATGATATCCGTACATTTCAAAGGAAGAAACATCCTGATATAAATAAAATTTGTTTCAAAAAGAACATAAGCTGCCTGGAACATCATCCCCAAACAATTCCGTCAATTTCACAAAAGGGATTTTTCTCCATTGAGATTCATATGTATATATGAGGTTATTGTTTTATTAAGGTTTATTTGTATTTTTATTAATAGAATGTTACAGATTAATTAATATTTATAAAAATAGTGAAAATTAAAATAAATTCAATAAGTTGTTCACAGAGATATAGAGAACAGTTATGGCCGTCTGCCGCTTTGCCGTCTTCGTCTTAAACGTCTCAATAATCAGATTCAACTAAGAGTCTAAACGCAACCAGAAAGTCTAGAGTCAGCGACGGTCGTTTACTGTGTATTTCTTATTGGCAACGAGAATACTGACGGCTGACGTTCGCGTCTATCGGCTTGACGCTAGAATATTTTTTTTATTTTTATTCATTATTGCTCAGCGTCATACTCAAATTTTCTATATTGCTCTCAATTGAGTTGCCATATTTTAGGTAAATTACCAGTGCTACCAACATTGCAGTGGAAATTTCAGTGGCAGTGCTGTTAAAAGTACAAATATTTTCAAAGATTGTGGACGTTTTTTAACGAATTAATAATAAAATGGAAGAAAAATTGATCGAGGAAATTAAAAATACGACATTTTGTAGCATTGCAGAAACTCTCAATATTAGAGGTAAATAATTAAATGTTTTTCAATGAATCCTATAGCTTTTTACTTACTTTAGTCGAAAATTTCAAATCAAGATGGAAGAATTTACGGGACACATATAAGAAGAAAAAACAGAGGGAAATTGTAAGATCCGGCAGTGAGGCAAGCTTCGAACGCCCATGGAAATTCGCAATTCAGTTAAAATTCCTGGAGAACATCAAGAGCTCTAGAAGGTAAACTATTAATTTTACGTATTTTATATATGTACCTTAAACAATGAATTTTCTACGATTAGAACTATTGGCAATCTCACAAATAATGTTGGGACTCAACCGGAGGATATTATAATCCTAGATGAAGATTCTTCGCCAGCATCTTCAGTACGTCCTCCAATAGTGTACGACCACCAAGCAGATTTCGAAATGACGTAGTGGAAAATGGAATCTGTGAAGCAGCAAAATCAGTTTTGGCGGCAAGCGCATACAATTCAACGGAAAAGAGAAGTAAAAGCAAGCAACAATGGGGCATACCTGTTTCAACATAAAAGCTGTTAGCAATCTGTTTCCATTCGTAAGTGTTTGGTGGAGCTACAAATATCAAGTGTAACTCTTCCCAAATCGATTCACATGTCTCGTAGATAATACTTCTGACAGTGATAATCCTAATTTGTGCGACCAAGCCAAATATTGAAAGCTACATCCATGTGCTAGAAATCTGGTAAATATTCGAATGTAATTATTATGAGCTTCTCATAAAAAACGATTACTCACAGTAGTTTTAATGACAAACGAACCTCTGGGGAAATTGCTTTTATTTTTTGTCTCTGCAGCCTCTCTTCAAGTAAATTAAGACGCAATTTGTATTTTGCTACACTCATCCGTGTGACTTTGAAGAAATCTTCCTCATCCATTGACTGGATTTGTTTTGAACACGTATTGTAAAATCCCTGCTCGTCTCGTGATAAATTTACGGGACGCACCCACCATCTTCTTGTTGATCCCACACTCCTCTGAGCTTCTTTATTGACATTTTCCCCAAGTTCCTTGACATTTTTGTTTATTAAATAATACATACATTGAATTTGGTTTGCACAACGTATAATATTCTGTCACAAAATAAAACAAATAATTGACATTTATTTGTTAGCGGCGCAAAATGACAATTATTTGTTTTATTTTGTGACAGAATATTATACGTTGTGCAAACCAAATTCAATGTATGTATACGCTGAGTAAAAATGAATACAATCTATTCTAGAGTCAAGCCGCTAGACGCGAACGTCAGCCTTCACGATTTCCCCGCCAATAAGAAATCACGGTAAACGATCGTCGCTGACTCTAGACGCTCTGATTGCGTTTAGACTCTAACTCGATCTTTCCGTCTCGGCTTCTAAATATGTTCTCACTGAAAAGGCTTGAACAAGAGAGTTTTTATGTGATTTCAGTGTTGTCACGCAATTAGGAAATTACCGATCCCACATATATTTCTTTCGCGGTATTTTCTTTTAATACGGGCAGTACAATTTTCAAAATTAAACTAAAATTTGGTTGGCGACTGAAATGCAGCATATTTGTGGTGAGAACTGTTTATGCATTTTGAAAAAGCTCATATTGGGTGAAAAACACTTCAGCATTTGTAACGTAAACTTCGTAAATATTTTCAAACATGTTGTTTTAATTTTTAGCATTTAAGACTTAGGCATCAATTTGATTTTCTCATCTACATCATATCCCAATTATATTGATTGTATCGGTAGATATAAAGAATTATTTTCCAAGACTTCGATTATTATTCTTCATCTTTTATTTCTGAAATTAACTTTAATATCCTCGATGGTAAAGAAATTGTCATAAATAGTTCCAGCATCCAT